CGTAGGAGGCGAGCTGCCATGGTTCGCCGCATGCTACAGCAGCGGGCTATCTAGGTGCGCACAGCGTCCCCCGGTCCTCTCCTCCCCCTCCTCCCTATCCGGAACTTGACCTCACCAGTCTGAAGCAGCCACCCTGTCCGTGACAAGTCCGGACCTGTTACTAGGGGCTTCGTCCGGTTTAATTACGGAAAAGGTTATCCGAATGTTTGTATTCAGACACAAAGGTCTTATGGACAGAGTCCCGAACATTTCCTTTTTTCATGGCCTGTCTGAAGGGGGCTTTAGAGACCCGAGGGAGAGATGGAGGGAGGGAGGGGTGGGGTGACAAACACTGAGAAAGACAATGGACCAACAACACATTGAGACGCAGACAGGGTTTTTTAAACAGGGGCAGGATGATTGGGAGATGAGCTGCAGGTGCGTAGGGAGAGAGAAACCTGGTGAAATCAATTTACTAATCAGGGAGAGGAAACTGAGCTGAGGAGGGGAAATAAAACATGACCTATGAACGGAGGTTTTTCGTTGTTGTTTCAATTCAACAAAACAAATTTTAACTACGGGTGAACGTGCCTGCAAGTTTAGAAAAGAAAACAGCACTGATAGCATTCATATTTCTGGATGGTTATAAAATAAAAACAGAACTGACACGTTATTACCGGTAATTTGCATGTTTAGAAGAACAGAACAGCGCTGACACAGCATTAATAAGCCCCGGATGACGAGAACATAAAAACTGCACACAAAACATGTCTGGTTAGTAAATAAAACACACTTGCCTACCAGAAGAAGTCATTCGCTCTCATCTTCCTCTTGCGCACTAAAGCCAGTAAAGTCCTCTTCTTCAGTGTCGGAGTTGAACAGCCTCAGAAGAGCTTCGTCACATACCTTTTCTGTGGCGATGTCAGTGTCGCTGTCCGTGTTGCTGTCATCATCCCCGGGTGAAGCTGGCTTGAATGAGTTCTTCCCGCTGTCGTCTCCAGCGCCGAACCATGGATTCATTCATGCCAAGCTTACGTGCGGCAGCACTGTTTCCCTCCTTTACCACCAGATCGATGGCCTTCAACTTAAATGCGGCATCATATGAACTCATACGTGTAGTTACCATGATGAGGGGGTATGGACATGAAAAAAAATTCTTCGTCGTGCCGGCTGCTTGCATGTGCTAAATTAAAATGAGCACTTTCTTCGATTTCCACTTTTGACTTCCACCTGTTTCACTTTCTGCTAAAGTGCCCCCTAGTGGCAGGTGAAGGTAAATCTTCAGTAAAGCCGCACCTCATTATAAGCTGCATGGTTCAAAGCGTGGGAAAAAAGTAGCGGCTTATAGTCCAGAAAATACGGTATGAGGACAAAGCAGCTGGTTTTAATGACATCATGTGTGTTTTAGTACAGCGATCCCTCACCCACAGATGCGCTAGGCCGTTCGAAACCTAGAAGAGTTTTTATGGAAAAATGTTCTAAACAAAAACAATCCTAAAAATTCATTTATTCCAGTATGAACAGAGTTTTTGGTTCCTATAATAGTTTATTCAGAAGTCGCTGTGACAACTTGTCTCGGCTGAATCATGACAGCCTGGTTTATGGGACTAGGTAATTGAATGCTGTAAACACGTTTATTCACAACCAAACAACGCTCCTAGTGCCTGGCTACCCTGCAAATTAGGATGTTTTCTCACATTTCAAAGACAAATTGTCATTTTGATAGGTGGCTTGTTAGGGAGAGCATTTAAGGACTAACTGGACTTGTGTAGCACTCTGTGACGTCCCTGTTACAGTGAGAAATGAGAGTAGAAGATGTTCTCTTGGGGAAAGAAAGTTGAAACCAGTCCATCACACACAGAAGCAGTGCCGTCACTCTGTTTTTGCTTTGGCTGAAGGTACTGGATGCTCTCTTTTAAGCTTTTGCATATGATGTGCCAGTTCTCTCATGCTTTTGCAGAGGAATGGAGCCCCATTTACTCCCACACTGGTTGGTGCACATATCTCCTGTAGGCCTGTCTACTCGGAACACTACCAAATGAACGTCCACGCTCATAACGGTCCTTTTTAATGGATTCAATATTGCGACTGTGATGCAATAGTGTCAAAACCATTGGCAGAGATTTATGAGAACTTCCATCCGATGCTGAAGCTAGGCATTTTTTTATTTACAGAGGGGGCACTCTCACTCTTAATCAGTCCATCAATTCCTAAGCAGGATGGATCAGTTTTACAGCTATTGTAGCTAAATCAGGGACCATGTTCTAGAGTCGAAAAGGGTAGAATGCCTTCTCCAGGCCCGGGATGAGGTCCTGCCCCAAATGAAGGAGTTTAAGTATTTCAGGGTCTTATTTATGAGCATGGACGTAATTTTCACTTTAGAAGTGGGGGGACACGGGGGGATCTTTACAGTATGTTCTAATGGGAAACAGGCTTCAACACAAATGGTTGTTTTCTGCTTGGTCCTAGAGCTCAACCAGTGTCAATTTAATATAGCGTAATATTGTTTTTGGATGGTAAAAAGTGCAGGGGTCAAAGCTTGACTTTGTAAAAAGTGGGGGGACATGTCCCCCCTGTCTCCCCCCAAAATTACGTCCATGTTAATGAGTAAAGAAAAGAGCGAGCAAGATCAATAGGGAGATTGGTGCCGCATCTGCAGTGATGAGGGTGTTAAGCCTTCCAGACATTTGCCACATCTGGATAGCTTTACCAAAACATTCCTCAGAAAGCCACGGCTTCCTTCCAATACAATATTCTTAATTCTGTGATTAAGAATCTTTAAATGTTTTGTGAGGTGAACCTTAACCTTAATGTGTATCTTATGAAGACGTGTATGAGTGTAGATAATGAAGTGTTACACATACTGATCATAAGATATGCAATGGATCATTGTAAGAACAATATTCATGTCAACCTCATTGATTTTAAGCACAGATTTCATTTAAACATCTTGTTCATTCAACCATATGATTATTTAACTTACAAGCCGTGAATTATTGTAGGATTCGTGTAAGTTCACCTTCATTCCAGCAGGAATCCACCAGTCTGACTTTTAGCAGAGAGATAAGGCTTTTGCGGGAGACCTTGACAGTTTATTTATGTCTGCGTTGAAGAACAATAAGTGAGCAAAAGGTTGATCTGTGCGTCTGGGTCCTTCAGCTGGTGTAACCTTGACTTTGCAGCTCTGGCGTGCGTGAAAGGTTACTGTGTCAATCCGATGGTGAAAATTTACCCTTTTGATTCATTACAACAAAAGCATAATCTTTATTTCTGTTTAAGGTCCAAGGGAGCTTTTCAGTACAGTTCGCTAACACGGAGACCTAAGGAGAGAACCTGGAGTGGGGCTGGGGAACACAAGGAGGCACATGAGGAACACAAGGAGACACATAAGGGGACCCTAGAGGCGGCTGGAGAATGCATGAGGGGGATGCAGGATGCAGACCATGACAAGTAATAATAATAATAATAATAATAATGATAATAATAATAATAATAATAATAATAATAAGGAGCTTGTGCATCTTTAGTTAATCAGGTCACCTGTTGTGTCCAGAAGTTTTGTATATAATATGAAATAAACCATTTGTGGTTAGCCTGTCAAGCAGTTCTGTGCAAACACCATTGACAGTTGTTGGTGTTAGTTACACAGCACCATCACTCAGACGGTGTTGGAGGTAACGTGAATCACTGTCACTGCAATTCCTTCTGCCTGAAAGGATCATAGATCACTTGAGGCTCATTTAAACACATCAGTAGGCATTTACTAAGGCTTTGCCCGCGAAAGCATGTTGGATGTGACGGTCTGAGACAGAACAGAGAATCACTTCACATCCACTGGTAAAAGCTGTGGATTGTGTGTCACTCGTTTGGCTCTCATCCAGAGCTTCCATTAGGTCATCACCAGACCGTGGCGTAAAAAGGCCCAAGCCACTTTATCCAGGGCCTGAGGAAATAGTCCAGTTTGATGCTTTACTGGTCCGTCTTTCTCGGCAGCTTCTTGTCTGTTTTTCCTTGGTGTGGAAATGTACAGCAGGTCAATAAAAGTGTCATTTTGTTGATTTACTGATTAAAAACCAATGAATTATAAAGCAACAGGTTAGTTTCTCATCTGATGAAGGACACGGGTAACATGAGGTATAAAATACTATATGCTGTCAACTTGGAGTTCTTATTGATGAAGACTTGTCATGGAAATCCCATGTTAGTTACATAAACGGTAAAATTGCCAAATCCTTAGGAGTATTACATAGAGTCAAGTTTTTACTGACTAATTCTGGTTTGTTGGCATTGTACAATTCACTGATTGTTCCATACTTGACTTATTGTGTAGAAATCTGGGGAGCAACATACAAAAACTATACACAACCCTTATTTATTTTACAGAAAAGAGCTCTGAGAATCATCAATTACAGTGGCTGTAGAGATCCATCGAACCCATTGTTTATTAAATATAAATTACTGAAATTTCATGATTTAAAAGACTGGAAAATCATACAAACCATGAATAAAGCCAATTTAGGTACTCTGCCAACAAACATTCAGGGGATATTTGCAAAGAGAACTAGTAATTACACGCTGAAAGAAACTGATGTGTTTACAAAACCTAGATTTAGAACTAAAATGAAGGAATGGAATATATCTGTAAATGGTGTTAAATTATGGAATAACCTTAAAAGAGAAATCTGCTGTTGTGTCCTTGGCCAAGACACTTAACCCACGTTGCCTGCTGGTGGTGGTTGGAGGGACCGGTGGGGCCAGTGCTCGGCAGCCTCTGTCAGTGCGCTACATCGTAACTCATCCCCACCGGTGTGTGAATGTGTGTGTGAATGGGTGAATGACTGTGTTGTAAAGTGCCTTGGGGGGTTCCAGGACTCTAGAAGGCGCTATATCAAATACAGACCATTTACAGTTATGCCAGATTTGTACATCAGCATCCATCCATTTATTCACCACTTGTCCGAGGTAAGGCTGGGCAGGGTTGCTGGTATAGAGGCCAATAAGAACAAGCAAAAACCTTTGAATCAATATTTTGTGTTTTGTTTACTTACATACAACCAGTTAAGATGTGTTTTTTGTACAAGTGTCATTTATTTCAGAAAACAGTGCTTATTACATCATCAAACTGCAATATTTATCCAGGCCTAACACATCTTTTTTACAACTCTAGTACAAGTCTATTTACAGGATCCATCTAACAGAAACATACATTTTCATGTGGGCCTTTTAATTGTTACAAAATCCTCAAGTGTTTCCAAAAAATAAAAAATACAGATCGATGATAAATAGATAAATACAGACGTCCAATCAAATGCAGTCATTCAATAAATAAATAGAACAATAAATAACATTCAAGACATCTTTGGCCGAACTCGGGCCACCTCGCTGTCCCCACTGACGTCGGTCTTAATGTCAGAGCACGGAACACCATGCTGACTCTATCAGCTTAGCCGATGGGGCTTCAAAAGAAGAAAATACTGGATATGTGGCATGAAGGAGCAAGTGAAAGAACAATTATATTGAGGCACTTTAAAGGATGTTCCAGGAAATGATAACATTTCCATGCCCCCCCCCCCCCCCCCCCCATGAGGAAACAAAGCATAAGACAAGAAACTGCATTCAAATGACAAGAAATTGAATGGCTGCTCATCTAATCATGTCAGCATGTGTCCCCCCATTTATTTTCTATGTTTTTTGTACAATTGTGGGACTGAGCATGATAAAGTACCATAGAAAATACAAAACAGCGAGCCTGAAACCAAAGAACAAACCACAACTGAAAAAAGACGATGAAATAATGTGACACCAGCAAACAAGAAAACTAATTTTCCCACTTAAGAGTCTGTGAATAACATCAATGTGTGTTCTCCGTGTTTGTTGAATTTGACTGAGTTTCTGACTGCTCTCCGAATATCCCTGCCAGTGTCTTAAAGCGAGGCCCCCAGTCACTGAGGTAATCGTAGTCATCCTCAAAGTCTAAAGCGAGGGACTCGATGGAGCTGAGAGACTCGGCAAGGGAGCCATCGCCTTCGTAGGCGTAGGTGGCCAAGGAGTCATACGGCGGGGCCGAGTTGTCCGTGTCGTGTTCTTTCAGACGCTGACTGATGAAATCTTGGATGTCTGCGCTGTCCTGAGACACGGGTGGCCTGGGGCCTCTCTTCATCTCTGGCTTGACATCCCTACGGAACAGGTTGTCCTTGATGACCTTGGGATTGCGAAGCGTCCCCATGTCAAATGCGTGCGTGTCCTCTTCGCCTCCCCCCTCATCGTCGTAATGAATGACGTTGTCTCTGATGTCCTCTTTGGACGACATGAGGGTTTCCTTTTTCTTCTGTCGTCTTAAGCCCACATAGAGAACCACGATAACTGGAGAAACAAATGAAGACAATTCCATTTTAGATCTCTTTCGGATCCATTTTACTCGGGCTTTGTAGCTTTACTTCTAATTTTGACAGGAAATGTCAAGAATCTCGGTGAAAATGGCACATAAAGTAGATTCTAGCATTTCCTCATGACTTTTTGGAGAAGTCCCTTCAGAATTAAGGTCCTCCTATTGATATTATGGTAGGTAACAATTTGAACAATGAGCATCAATAAAATGGTAATGAAATACTCCCATAAGCAGGCTCAAACCAGAGTTGAATGCCATAGAGTTGAATTAAATAATTTTAAATCATGAACATTATGGCTTTAGGACCAAACATTCAACAGCAATGGCAGTTATGGATTTAGTAGATAAAATTTTATCAGCAATTGACAATATATATATATATATATATATATATATATATATATATATATATATATTGCACTTTTTCCGTCTGTATCTTAAACCAATTTTAAACGCATCACCAGGACAAATTGTCCACATTATTAAATTGATTGCGTTTACCGTTTGGGGTTCATTTATTTTTCATTTGATTTTTACAGACCCCGCCTTTAGTTTTGGGAGGTTCTACATATTTTAGACGCCACAGCAGACAACCATTGTGTTTTCTTTTATAATGCACAGCAGTAAATTTCCTCCTCTGCCTTCTCCCTTGTCAGTGCAATCTGTCTTACTCTGTCTATCTCCCCTCTGTGTCCCTTCCTCTGTATATGCACTGAATAATGCAATAAATGTGTGTTTTTCTTCTGGGTGTGTGATCTATAGCTGCACCTCGGAGGAGGAGTAATAGCCGGAATAACTCTGACATCAGTCAGTAAAATGAAAAAATAAAAAATAAAGTCACAAATAGAATAAAGTAGAAAAAAGGGTTGGAAGAACCCACATATGTCTCTTTATTTAAACCTTTTTTTACATAATGCCGTTTTTCCCACTCCCTGAAATGATTTGTACAGGGTAGCAGCTCCTCCTTGTGGTCACTTTGCAGATTTCAGGACTCAGAAGCAGATTGGTAACGCAGGGCGGTCTGACTTGTCACGAGTTCTGCTCAAGCCACATCAGGTTTGGAGGAATTGGAAATGCAAATCTCCGCACTGGTTTGCTTAATTTGCATCATCATTTCTCCTCACAGGACAACTGGGTCATCGCAACAAATCCTGCACAGGAGAAGCAAAGAGTCTGTGTGGAAATGCTCACTGTGTGAGTTCTGATTCTCTCTGCCACTTCCCTTCTCAGGGACAGCATGGCAGTTTGGCATCAGCCTCAGCCTCGAGGCGGTGAGTCAACTAGGGGCTTTGAAGACGGTTTTCAGACGAAGGCAACTCACCGCCACAATCCACTGTTTGCTTTTATGCTCGATAACGCCAAACACTCCTACTTAAGTGGATATTTCACATGAATACATTCATGAGGCTCATGAAAGAGGATTAATTATGAGGCATAGTTGTAATTTTAACAGTGGATTCTTTAGTTGGGCCATAAATTAGAAGGAGGAAAAGTAAATACGGCACAATTCAAAGGTCACATGCGCTTATTGTGAAACTTCTTTAACAACCATTCATCCCACATTCTCTTTTTTTTATGCCATGAACCTACATTTACATATCCACGACTATGCAGATGTGTCAGGAAATTAATAGGAGAAGATTAAGGGGGAGTTTTATAACCATGACCTTGTGGGAAACATAAAAAGCTGTAACTTGGGAATCATTGACGGGGCAGCGAGATTGAATTTAGTTTATAGAGCTAAACGGCCCTCCGTTTAATCTTTAACGCCTCGCTGAATGACCATATTCCTGTGAAATTTATAATTAAATGCAGACTCTTCTGGAAAAACTCAGCTCTGACCGTCAGAAAGACGAAAATAGTGGAATACAGATGCTTTAGAGACCGTCTGCACGTGTAAAATAGGACTCTGGTATGAACACATGGCATCAGATGTCTTGGTCACTTGTTTGTTGTTTTAGGTTGTTGTTTTTTTTTTCAGTTTAGCCAAATGCAGTCTGCATAAAATTGTGTGACTAAATCAACATTTTTCAGACAATTACTGGCTCCTGTCCATGTCTAGACTCTAACATGTTGGTATATTATCATGGCTGCACAGATACAGGCCCTGAACACCAGAGCAACAGCGGCTAAGATCTACCACACCAGACAGGTGCAGGCTATGCAAAGAGGCCCCTGAGACAATCCACCACATAGCTGCAGGGTGTAAGATGCTGGCAGGGAAAGCATCCATGGAACGCCACAACCCAGTGGCTGGCATCGTGTACAGGAACATCCGTGAATGGACTGGAAGCCCCAAGGTCAAAGTGGGTAACACCCCCTAAGGTGGCGGAGAACGAGAGAGCCAAGCTCCCGTGGGACTTCCAGATCCAGATGGACAACATGGTGTTGGTGAACCAACCGAGCATTGTGGTGGTGGACCAGCAAAAGATGACAGCCGTTCGGGTTTATGTGGCAATCCAAGTGGTGGAAACATCAGGAAAAAGGAACACTTGAAACTAGAGAAGCACCAGGGCGTCAAAGAAGAACTCGATTAAGCCTGGAGATGAAGACATCAGTGGTGCCCTTGGTCCTCCCCAGACTGGAGGAGTGGCTAAAGCAGATCCCAGGAAAAACATCAGACATCTCAGTGCAGAAAAGTGCAGCTCTAGGAACAGCTAAGATACTGCAGGACCCTCAAGCTCCCAGGACTCTGGTAGAAGACCCGAGCTTGGACCAACGGACCCTTGACCTAATCTAGACATCATATATAAACTTTTTTACTCAAAAGTTCAAAAAGGTTTGTTTTGGTTATACATGCTTCACATTTTGTATACAGCACATTTTTTTATTTGTTATTGTTTAATAAGTGTTATTATAGTGTCTTAGGGCTACTCAATTAATCAAATTTTAATCCCAATTACGATTTGAGTTTTGAACGGTTATAAAAACAAAACAAGCTGATTATTTGCTCCTCCCACTTGCGCTGCCCCGAGTTGCAAATGAAGTGCTCCTCCCACAGTGTTGCCAACTTAGCGACTTTGACGCTATTTCTAAAAGCTTTTCAGACCCCCTTCATGACTTTTTAAATCTTAAAAGTACCTAGCGAACACCTGAGAAACATCTCTGGTAACCCTTAGCTACTTTCTGGATAACTGTCGTTGACATTTCCTGCAGGTTAGCTAAACACTCCGCCTGCGCTCCGGACCGTTCTTCAGAACATTAGAAAAGGGAATGATGTAGTGATGTGTCAGTCGCTAAAGAAACAGCTCTCGGAGCCCTCAGATCCCAGTTGGAGTAACCAGAGTGAGTGACACACACCGTAACTGCGGGCTCCTGAGCTGCTAAAAACGGCTAAATGTGCACGTGCGGCGTGCTAAACACACGTGCAGCTTGCCCTTGATTGCTGTGAAACCGGGTTGGGGGGTGTAGCTGTGGTTGGGACAGGTAGAAATAGATAGAAATAAGTTCCTCACGCTGATAATTAATAACTAATCTCTCTGAGGACACGGTGCTAGTGCACTCTCCTACAGCACCTTGACACGACTACATAAATGTTAAGCAAAATTTTGTGAACATCAATTTATTTGCGTTTATTTGTTATAAATGCCACTGTATAATTCTTGCTGTCAGTATTTGCAAGATATTGGTATTTGGGTCTGTACTGGTTAGACTTAAATGAGTTAAACCAAGGTCTATAGCCCTTGGGTCATAAACTATGAGCTATAAGTATATTGGTCTTTTTATACTGGGGATCAGGAGTTATTTTAGTGATCATCTTGTTTCTTTTTTATTTTTGTCCTGATTGTCCCCTGAGCAATTTTATGACAGAATAAAAACAAATAAAATTAACATAAATTGAAAAATTATCTTAAATAATCAAGATCTCAATTTCAGTCACAATAATCCTGATTATTATTTTTGCCATTATCGAGCAGCCCTATATATAGTGTCTCTTTTCACATTTAGCTATAATTTGGGAGTAAATTAGATTTTTCATTTTCTTTGTGTTTGAGCAATTTTTGTTTAGAAAATTATAATTTTTCAAGAAGGTTTCGAAAACCAGACAGAAATCATTCAGACATTTTAAATGAGAAACTTTAAAAAACGTTTTTCTCAGAACATCTGAGCTCACCTCCAAGTGGTTAATAACCAATGTGACTAAGCACGAGGTCCAGACTCCCTAAATCTTTCCTAACAACCAAGGTTTGATGAGTTTAGTTTTGGCAGTCTTCCCGTCAAAGACCAACAAAAGATCATTGACAAAAATAAAAACAAACACAAATCTCCTGAACTTTTGAAGGCTGCTCAAATCACCAGTTGTGCAGGAATAGTTGTGGAATAGAAATGTCAATAATTTGACATTTCATAAAATGTCAACGTGTCTCTTTTTGACAAGAGTACAATGGGAGGATCAATACCACCGAACTGGAGTCTGATTCTGCCACGAGACTTTCCGGCAACCAGGAGAGCCTGGAGCACGGCTCCGTCTCTGACCAATCACACACGACCTGGAAATTCTGGAATGTTTATCCCAAAACAAACTCGGCTTATCTTGGCAGCACTGATGAATCTTTTTCATACTTAAGGCAAGTTCTACTACATGTTTAGCCATGAGGCTTTCGCCCAACTAAAAATCAATTTACATATTTCACAACTTTTCTTCAGGAAGACCAGAGAGCTTGAATATTAGCCGGTTGAGAAGCTTGAAAAACATTATCAGAAATACTAACTAGGGGTGAATTTAATGGATTTAGTTTGCTTTTTGTTAGCCCCAAGACTCTCTGCCTGTGTGTTGGGGTTTACCCCGGGGGACGAGAGGGTAGCTTCCCTGCGCCTTCGGGTCGGGGAACGGGTCCTGACTGTTGTTTGTGCTTCTGGGCCAAATATCAGTTCAGAGTACTCACCCTTTTCGGAGTCCCTGGGATGAGTGCTAGATAGTGTTCCATCAGGGGACTCCATTGTCCTGCTGGGGGACTTCAATGCTCACGTGGGCAATGACAGCATGACCTGGAGGGGTGTGATTGGGAGGAACGGCCCGCCTGATCTGTCTGAACTCGAGTGGTGTTTCGTTATTGGACTTCTGTGCAAGCCGCAGTTTGGCCATAACGAACACCATGTTCGAACATAAGGATGCCCACCGGTACACTTGGTACCAGGGCAGCCTAGGTCACAGGTCGATGATAGACTTTGTAGTCATATCATCTGACCTGCGGCCGTATGTTTTGGACACCCGAGTGAAGAGAGGAGCGGAGCTGTCAACTGATCACCACCTGGTGGTGAGTTGGATCAGATGGCAGGGGAAGATGCCGCGGAGACCTGGCAGACCCAAACGCATAGTGAGGGTCTGCTGGGAACGCCTGGCAGAAGAACCTGTCAAGACGGTCTTCAACTCCCACCTCCAGCAGAGCTTTGATCGCATCCCGAGAGCAGTGGGGGACATTGACTCCGAGTGAGCTTTGTTTCACTCTGCGATTGTTCAGGCGGCTGTTGCTAGCTGTGGTCGCAAGGTGGCCGGTGCCAGTCGTGGTGGCAAACCCCGTACCTGCTGGTGGACACCAGAGGTTCGGAGAGCCGTCAGGCTCAAGAAGGAGGCCTACAAGGCGTGGCTGGTCTGTGGGTCTCCGGAGGCAGCAGACAGGTACCGGATAGCCAAGCGGGGTGCAGCAGTGGCAGTTGCCGAGGCAAAACCTCGGGCGTGGGAGGAGTTTGGTGAGGCCATGGAGAAAGACTATCGATCGGCTCCAGAGAGGTTCTGGCAAACTGTCTGGCACCTCAGGAGAGGAAGACAGCAACTCACTCACAATGTTTACAGTGGGGATGGGGAGCTGCTGACGTAAACAGGGGCTATAGTCGGACGGTGGAAGGAATACTTTGAGGAGCTCCTCAATCCCACCTACACACATTGTGAGGAGGAACCAGAGCCGGGAGACCTGGGGATGGACTGTCCAATCTCGGGAGTAGAAGTTGCTGAGGTAGTCAAACAACTACACAGCGGCAGAGCCCCAGGGGCGGATGAGATTCATCCTGGGTATCTCAAGGCTATGGATGTTGAAAGGGCTGTCATGGTTGACACGTCTCTGCAACATTGCGTGGTCATTGGGGGCAGTTCCTGTGGAGTGGCAGACCGGGGTGGTTGTCCCCATCTTTAAGAAGGGTGACCTGAGGGTGTGTTCCAACTATAGGGGGATCACACTCCTCAGCCTCCCTGGAAAGGTCTTCTCCAAGGTACTGGAGAGGAGGGTCCGATCGATAGTTGAATCTCAGATTGAGGAGGAGCAATGTGGTTTTCGTCCTGGCCTTGGAACTGTGGACCAGCTCTATACCCTTGCAAGGGTGATGGAGGGGGCATGGGAGTTTGCCCAATCAATCCACATGTGTTTTGTGGATTTGAAGAAGGCTTATGACCGTGTCCCCAGGGTCACCCTCTGGGGGATGCTCCAGGAGTATGGGGTGGGTGGCTTTCTGTTAAGGGCCATTCAGTCCCTTTACCAGAGGAGAGTGAGTTTGGTCCGCATAGCCGGTAGTAAGTCAGACCTGTTCCCTGTGAGGGTTGGACTCCGCCAGGGCTGCCCTTTGTCATCGGTTCTGTTCATTACCTTTATGGACAGAATTTCTAGGCACAGTCGTGGTGTGGAGTGTGTCGAGTTTGGTGGCAGGAGAATCTTATCTCTGCTTTTTTCCGACGATGTGGTCCTCTTAGCTTCATCCAGCTCTGACCTTCAGCTCTTGCTGGGTAGGTTCGCGGCTGAGTGTGCAGCGGCTGGGTTGAGGATCAGCACCTCCAAATCTGAGACCATGGTTCTCGACAGGAAAAGGGTGGCTTGCCAGCTCCGTATCAGGAGAGAGGTCCTACCTCAAGTGGAGGAGTTTAAGTATCTCGGCGTCTTGTTCACGAGTGAGGGTAGGAGGGATCGTGAGACTGACAGGCGGATTGGTTCAGCATCTGCAGTGATGCGGACGCTGAGCCGATCTTTCGTGGTGAAGAGGGAGCTGAGCCAGAAAGCCAGGCTCTCGATTTACCGGTCGATCTACGTCCCAATCCTCACCTATGGTCATGAGCTTTGGGTAATGACCGAAAGAACGATTGCAGATACAAGCGGCCAAAATTAGTTTTCTCTGTAGGGTGGCCGGGCTCAGCCTTAGAGGTAGGGTGAGGAGCTCGGACATGCGGGGGTGACTCGGAGTAGAACCGCTGCTACTCTGGATCGAAAGGAGTCAGTTCAGGTGGTTTGGGCATCTGGTCAGGATGCCTCCTGGACGCCTCCGTGGGGTGGTGTTTTGGCACGTCCTGCCAGCAGGAGGCCCCCGGGTCGACCCAGGACACTTTGGAGAGGTTACATCTCCAATCTGGTCCGGGAACACCTTGGGGTCCTGCCGGAGGAGCTGGTGGAGGTGGCCAGGGAGAGGACGGTCTGGAGCTCCCTAGTTGTGATGCTGCCCCCGCGACCCGGATCCGGATAAGCAGAGGAAGACGACGAGTTTGCGTCAGACCTAAGGCCTTTTTCCATTATTAAATGGGGGGGTCCCTCAGGGACCTTGGTCCTCTTTCGTTTGCCATTTATTTGCTTTCTCTGGGGTCAATCTTTCGTAAACATGGCCTAGCGTTCCATTTCTATGCTGACGATTGCCAGATTTACCCTCCATTGTGTCAGGAGAAAGGTCACTCTATCCAGTCCTTTGTGTGACCTGTTTCAATGAGGTGAAGTCTTGGCTAATGGCCAGCTCTCTGCATCTGAATGAGGGAAAGACAGAGCTCATTGTTTTTCACCCCAATAGCAGGGCTGTGGGTCGTTATGTTGATCTTGGCCCTCTTTCTCCCAACTCAAAACCAGTTCTCACCAGTTTGGGGGTGAAAATTGACGCTGAAATTAAACTTGATGCTCACATCAACTCTGTGATCCGGTCCAATTTCTTTCATCTGAGACGCCTTGCAAAAATCAAGCCTATGCTGTCGAGAGCCCATCTGGAGCGGGTACTCCATGCTTTTGTAATTTCTAGGCTTGATTACTGCAACTCTCTATATGCAGGACTGGGTCAGTAATCACTGCATCGCCTACAGGTTGTGCGGAACAGCGCAGCCAGGTTTCTGACTGGGACTAGGAAACGGGACCACATCAGTCCGGTTCTGGCCTCCCTGCACTGGCTTCCGGTCTGTTATCGTTCACACTTTAAACTCCTTATCTTTGTTTACAATTTCTTCCAGGGTGGTGGTACCCCCTATCTAGCCACACTCCTGAACAGACATTCCCCATCACGCGCTCCTCTGACCAAGGCCTGCTCGCTGTCCCTTGTTCTAGGTGTCGTGGGGACCGGGCTTTCACAGTCCTAAACTCGTCACTCTGGAACCAGCTGCCACCCTCAGTTAGGCTGTCCTCATCTTTGCCAGTCTTTAAGGCCCTGTCCACACGTAGCCGGGATCTGCCAAAGCGTAGATATAAACTATTGGCCTGTCATCCACACGAAAACAGAGTTTTTTTCACACGAAAACAGATCTTTTTAAAAACTCTGGCCAAAGTGAAGATCTGCGTTTTCTCCGTTTTGGGTGTCTGAGTGTGGACAGACAAAACCGGAGTTTTAAGGTCCGCAACGTCACTTTCCTCGACAAAAAAATGCTGACATCACGTGTGCGACCTGTGTTTACACTAGCCAACAGCATGGATGCCTTCAGAGCTGTGCTCGCTTTATCAATTGTCCAAGCGCTTTTTGCTTGTTTGTTTTTGCAAGTGGAATTACTGCTCCTTGCAGAAGACCACAGACGAAGGACGAGGTTAAGAACGGGGGAAGTACTGCCGCCTACAGGTCTGGCATGTCCTTAACAACGTATTTATCCGGGTACGTGTGGACAGAGTTTTTTTTTTAAACGAGGTGGTGAGGATGCAAGTTTTTGGAGGGGCGGATATTCTTAAAAAAAAAACCCGGCTACGTGTGGACTAGGCCTAAGAGTCTTCTAAAAACCCACCTCCTCCACTTGGCGTTCCCTGAACGTGTTTGAGTTTGGCCCTCTTTTATGTTTTTATTTTCCTGTTTTCATTGGTCTCTTTATCTCTTGTTTTATCCATTTGTTTCTACTTTAATGTTTTACCTTTTTTACACTATTTGAATTGCTTTTATTATCCATTTATTCATTGTGTTTCACATTTTTTATGTACTGTGTTCAGCGCCTTGGGCTTCCTGACAGGGTCGCGGAAGGCGCTTTATAAAAAAAGCTTTGATTGATTGATTGATTGATTAAATTCAGATGTTTGTAAGCTTTCGCTAATATGAGAAAGCAACTCTTGCGACAGATCTCACCTAACAGGATGATGATGCACAGAAGGATGGCGATGAGCGCTCCTGTGCTCAGACCCACAGGAAGGAAGATGGCCTCTGCGCTGCATGTTAGCAGGGATCCGTCCAGTTCACAGCCACACACGCGGATGGTGAGGGTTCCTGTGCTGCTCTTTGGTGGGTAGCCATTATCGTCGATCACAACGGGCAGGAAGTAGATCTCCTGTAGACGCCGCCTGAAGCCGCTCCGCTTAGTTACAATTCCAGCTGTGTTATCTGTAAAAACCAAGGAAAGGTTTGGGTTTCTGGTGGTGCTCATCAACAGGTAGTAAAAGAAAATCAGAAAAATACAAGTTAGGAAATTGTTGTTCAAACATATTTAGGGAAAAGCTATTTTTTATCTCTACAGGTTAGAAAGTCTTCTAACAAAGTGAAAGAACATATTTCTTCCAGTATCAGTCAAATTACAGCATCTGAGCTTGATCCATAACCTGGAGGTCTTCGTACAAGAAAGATGAACAAGTTCTGCATTTGTTTGATTTCAAACACTCTTCAAAAGCCTCTCAGAATGAGATGTAACCCCCCCAATTCATATCAAAGTCACGTTTTCATCAAAGTTCTTCTGGTTTTCTTTTTAAAGCTACCAAACCCAAATCACTGCCTGGCATTTTCATCTCATCCAATCTGTTCTGATCCGTGGAGAGCTGTTATTTCATGATCTCTTCACCAGATAAGCTACGATAGATGCACGCTGAGAAATTGATAAAACGCACAAGTTGAGAGAACGGCTGGATGAGTAGTGGTTGTGTTGAACACAGGGCCACGGTGAGAGAACGTGTCTGCTCAGCCTCGAACCTGCCTGTTCCTGTCTTCCACAGCCACGTTGTCTGACCCCTGTCGACCCGAGTTTGCTTTACTAACAAAGCCGCACTCCTCGTCCTGACAGGAGGTCAGGCGTTTTAACACACCTTGCATGTTGTGCACAGCCCTGATTTTTGTTTGCCTCTCTGTCTCTCTCCTGCTGAAGCTGTGTGTTGCGTTGCCTTTGGTGTTTGGATACCCTGTCCCTGCCCATCAGATCCTGGTCCGTTTTCAGAGAGTGTGTTTCCAAGGCTACTAGCAGTCAAGAAACTGAAAGACAGTGTGTCCAAAAGGTAAAAGTGGATCAGAGGTTCAGACCTGGGCTTGTCAGGGATGGTGAATGCATTCGTTTCCCCGACCCCACACTGCCATGTCCCACTTTTCAATGCACGTCTTCCTGGTCTGACTTCAAAGAACTGGGCGAGAGCACGCTGCAGAGTGTCGAATGGCCTTATCAGACCAACTGATGCTTTAAAGTTATTTTCAGAAGTGAAATTTGACACCTCAGAAACCTTAGAAAGGGATTCAACCACTAATTAATCCAGAAACATGATATTAAATCATCTTGGATTTATTTAGATTAATCCATTAACAACAAATTAGCATGTTTGGTTCAGACTGATCCATAATTTAGTTATTTTTATGTGCCTTTATTAGAAAACCAATCGCTGTTGCCCACCCAATAAGCTAGCCCTAACCATCCTTGCTTTTAGATTTTTGAACAAAAGACGTCATAATTTCTTAACATCAGATGAGTTTAGACAACTTTTATAGATGAGCTTCTTAGATTCTTAATGGGTCAAGTTAAACTGTTCTTTGGAGGACATTGACATAAAAAGTAGCCTAGAAATCTAGTGCAGAGACAGTTTAAAAGAAAATAGTTGATTCTGCTCCTACGAGATTTTATTTAAATAGGATGGTAGCCAGGCTAACTTAAATGAACTCAGAGACACACTTTTAAAATAATTGCATAATTCAAGCCGTCCACAGGGAGTCAAATTGAGGAAATCAGCATCAAACCCTTTTAAATACATAGTCATCATCAAGACTGCTACGACAACCAATCAGAGTATTATTTTTGTGGTATGGTCTTGCTAACTGGAGGAAACATGCTTTATACTCTTTCAATAAACACATGCGTTATTGCTGATTTGATATTGACATTGATGGTAAAGTTGTTCTAAATTCTCTCATAAATAAAATAAAGTCAGAATTTCACCACAATTGCAACAGTTGTCTAGCCTGGCAAGCCAGACTAAATAAATGTATTATTTAGTCTGGCCACGCTCCACTGACGGCTCTCGGGTGTGGGGCGGGTTTTACCGTTGTCTTTCAAATGATCTCTGCATTCCACTGGACAATGAATGTGACATACTCTTGTTTCACTCTGTTGCATCACCCCACCCACCAGGCATATAGAGGGCCCTGATTGGCCCACAAAGCGGATAAAGCTCTGTGATTTGTTCACTAAGCAGATAGAGCACTATGATTGGCCCACCATTATGGACCAATCACAGCTCTTTATGTGTTTGAAACCCTTCTAGAGAGCTGTGATTGACTAGCCAGAGTCCTGGTAGGAGCTGCGGAGGTTCCAGTGGAGCATGCCTAGACCGAATTTTGCAAAACAAGAATTTGGTCTAGTTCACTAGGCTAACAGTTTTCTACACCATCACTCCATTTCTGTTGATGTTGAGCTCCAAACTTCTGAGACGATTTGTGCTGCATAAATGTGTGTTCCTGTGGATCTACCACAGGATCTACCTGGATTGAAATCAGAGACGAATCACCTGATGAATCAGTTGGGGGTGTACATTTAAAAATGCTCTTCCTGTTTTGGTCTTCATTCACACTTTTGGAGTGAATTTGAATGAATATTTTAGACCCGACATTCCTTCAGACATTTATGCTATGAACTTTTGTGTACGTCTTGTATTCAAACACTTACTTCCAAAGTCTCGAATTGTAAAATTCTTGTTCTTTACGTCGTCTTTTGATGTCCTGAAGGAGAACTGCTGTCCAGAACTGGGTAGGTCCTGGTCTTTAGCGCTGAATATCTGAATCACCTGATGAAACATTAAGAATACAGCTTTGAATAAAACATAGAAACGTAAGATTCTCCCACAGACTTTGTGGTACACGGGCAGTCGTTTTCATCATGAAATAATCTGTCGATTTTTCCAGCGGTGAAGGGAAAGCTATTAAAGTCCTGGGGAGAACGCATGGCAGACTTACCAGGCAGTGAATTGTTCTCCCTGTCATTTTGGATACAGCCACTGAGCACTTGATTGAAAACTTGTTGAAGTTCCTACATCACCTCAACATTGCACGGTGATGGATTAACTTCATTCAAAGCTGCTGGAGCTTGCTCAGTGGTTATAATTCCAGACTGAGCCTCGGCTGCTTGGAATAAGAACCTGAATCTCAAAAATGTTGGAAGAGAAAATGTCACAGACGCAGAGTTGGAGCCATGTGGAGAGCAAAGAAAATGATTTTTCTCCTACCCCTCCAAAAAAAACTTCTTAGATCATCAGCAAATACATTTGACAAGTTTGGAGCATGACACAGAATCACAAACGTAAAACACGGCTGCAGCAGGATGTTTTTATGTGTTTTTGTCTGTTGGGATGTGTTGAAATGCTGACATAACCATGTTCCACCACTAGGTGGCAACTAACCCTAACTTCCTTATAACTGGCATATCAAAATGCAAAGTATGAACTTTTGTAATCTGGATACATTTCATTCCAAAACCTGTTTTCATTTCTTTAATATTTATATTTCCTCTCAATAAGACAATTTTGGTGCCTGGAGTTTATGGCGATTTATGGTGATTAGAGTTTTAATACAGGATGAATGATATATGACCCGTACTTGTATAGTGCCTCCAAAGTGCTTTACACTGCAGTGTATCATTCATCCATTCACACACTGGTTTGTGAATGGATGAATGACAGAGGCTGCTGAGCACTGGCCCCACCGGTCCCTCCGACCACCACCAGCAGGCAAGGTGGGTTAAGTCTCTTGGCCAAGGACACAACAGCAGATTTCTCAGTCCGGAGCCGAGATCGAACCTGCAACCTTCCGATTACTGGACAACCCGCTCAACCTGTTGAGCTACTGCTGCCCCCCAAGCAAAAGCTCCCAAAAATAAAGTTATTTACAGGGAATGAAGTTGTGTCAGTTGTGTGATTTACAGACTTAGGAATAATCTCCCTTTACTGCTTTGGTTTCAAATCCAATCCAGTCAACATATGACAGATCCCAGGCTCATGATCATAGCAGAAAAACTCAGTTTTGGAGTTTTTTTTTTTATTACTTCTTGCTTCATTTCTTATTTTTCCCAAAAAGCTTCTGAATAACTTTCTCATGAATAAAGAAACATATAGAGTCAGACTTTAAAATTGGGAGCTGAATTTAGTGAAACACGTTTCCAAGCATCATTCCTGCAGACACTTCTAACATAAGATCGATCCCTCCTGTCTGTGAGCTTGCATTGAATCATCGTCTCTCGCAGCGGAGCTGTGTTCCTCTCCCTGACCTGCCGAGGACCTCGTGCCCCTCGAGCCCCGGGCCCCCCCACATGCAGGAGCGAGTAATCAGCCCCTGCTGTCTTGTTGCATTATTCTGATTGTGTGTAGCTCTCTCTGTTTACCCTCTCAGTATTTGAATAAAACTCCCTGCAGGGGAGTAAACCTGACACAGCTGTGATGAATGTCCTGTTGAGCTCCCTGCAGCAGATGTAAAGTTCACACTCTCCAACCGAACCAGCTCTGGGAGGAGACTATCGTGTTACAGCCGTATTTGTTTTATTTATATTCTGACTTTTTTACTGTTTCAGTAGTACTTAGAAGAAAAAAAAAGTTTTAAACTAAACACAATCATTTTATAATAGCTACAAAACAACATGTTTTGCTTTATTTAATTCTATAACTGTATAATGCTAATAAAATAAATAAATAAATAAATAAATACTTGGGCCTTTGTCATCTGCAGATCCTCCACCAGAGGGCAGTGTACATGTCCAGGACTGGATTTGACAGGTTTCTGATGAAGGCACTAATCCTGATGCTGGTTTGATGCTAATTTTTGAATGTCAGTCATTTCAAAATAAAAGCATATCTTGTCAGATATTGCCATCAATCACACGATGAATTACTAACATTAGACACATATTTCTACAATTTAGTTTATGGGTGTGTAACACGATAATCTGCTTGTGAACCAAACCCCACCTTAAATGGTTTAACCATCACCATCTATGTGGCGTGCACAATTTTATCTTCTGCCTCTTTAAGCCATCACTCATAACTTGCCCTAAGCAGCTGATTGGATGATTTTCAAACATCTTGCAGGTGTGCTTCTGTTACATTTGAGTCAAAAAGCAGAAGAAATTAACTAAAACTGTGTTTTCTTCAAGAAGAAAACACATAAATGCAATCTTTGCTTTCTGTATGGCGTCAGATGTTTTAGCTGCACAAGGAGGCATTTAACCATAACAGGAAAGGAGCAACTGAAACGGCAGCATGAGGTCTTTAATTAGAGTTCCTCGTGCAAAACTCCTCCTTGTATTCCTTGCATCTATTTCCCGCCTCCCTGTGATCCCGGGTGAGGCTGCCAGGCCCGCGACCGCCTGCTACTGTGAGCCGTTTTAGGTGCTAAAGCTTCTACTTCCACACTCAGCTGCTCTGTAAGTAAAGAAAGATAAGAGTCACGGCTAAATGCTGTAAACATCGCCGTAATTACTGCAACATAATAAGCCGATTCGCTGGTTTAGCATTTCAATGCAGTGCCATAAATTGCGAAGGGGAAGACTAGAAGAGTCACATTAGAGAACAGGCTGCACTGAATTTACCTAATGATTTGTTTTATATTTCCTTTCATGTTGCTTTTTTTCCCATTTCACACTTGACCGGCTGAATCAGAGTAAGGTCGTTTATTAAATCGGGAAAAGTCCTTCTGTTCACGTTTTGGCCTCAACTGCGATCTCTTTCGTTTGTAAATCTCTGCCCTCCTTCCTGCTCACGTTAAAATGAAAATCATGAGTCGTTTTTTTCTTGCTCGAATTCATCCCGGTTACAGATTATTTTCGATCAGATGTGCCGCAGTGTGAGGCCCTACAGTACAAGCAGTTTGTGTGTATTTCAGCTGAGTGAGTGCAGATAATCATCAAGGGGTTGAGGGGAGGTGGGGAAACGTCTGATGGATTTTTCAAGAGAGCGATCTGCAATTCTTTATCATCCCCCAGCTGTTCTCAACACCTGGCGGAGTCACGCTGTGGAAACGCAGCGGGGAAGTCTGTGCCGTGGAGCGACGGCCGAGAGAGGAAAAAACAAGGAAGAGTGGGAAAAGAGATAAGTGCAGATTATAGGGAATCAGGAGATGAAGAGATTTCAAATGCAAACTCATTTTTTTTACAAATTTATTGATGTCTTATGATAAACTGTCAGGATTTTAATCCAATTTTAGGCATTAGAATTAAACTTTTAAATGTAATATTTTGTAAAGTGTGTCAGTTACATACATATATATCCTGTATGTGTATATATATGCATATATATGCATATATATATATATATATATATATATATATATATATATATATATATATATGCATATACAGGTGCTGGCCAGTAAATTAGAATATCATCAAAAGGTTGAAAATATTTCAGTAATTCCATTCAAAACGTGAAACTTGTACATTATATTCATGCAATGCACACAGACCAATGTATTTCCAATGTTCATTACATTTAAATTTGATATTTATAGGTGACAACCAATGAAAACATCAAATCTGGTATCTCAGAAAATTAGAATATTCTGAAGGCCAATGAAAAAATGTTTGTTTCTCTAATGTTGGCCAACTGAAAAGAATGAACATGAAAAGAATGTGCATGTATAGCACTCAATACTTAGTCGGGGCTCCTTTTGCCTCAATAACTGCAGTAATGCGGCGTGGCATGGACTCGATCAGTCTGTGGCACTGCTCAGGTGTTATGAGAGCCCAGGTTGCTCTGATAGTCGTCTTCAGCTCCTCTGCATTGTTGGGTCTAGCGTATTGCATCCTCCGCTTCACAATACCCCATAGATTTTCTATGGGGTTAAGGTCAGGCGAGTTTGCTGGCCAATCAAGGACAGGGATACCATGGTCCTTGAACCAGGTGCTGGTGGTTTTGGCACTGTGTGCAGGTGCCAAGTCCTGTTGAAAGGTGAAGTCTGCATCCCCATAAAGTTGGTCAGCAGCAGGAAGCATGAAGTGCTCTAAAACTTCCTGGTAGACGGCTGCATTGACCCTGGACCTCAGGAAACAGAGTGGGCCAACACCGGCAGATGACATGGCACCCCACACCATCACTGACGGTGGAAACTTTACACTGGACCTCATGCAACGTGGATTCTGTGCTTCTCCGCTCTTCCTCCAGACTCTGGGTCCTTGATTTCCAAAGGAAATGCAGAACTTGCTTTCATCAGAAAACATAACTTTGGACCACTCAGCATCAGTCCAGTCCTTTTTGTCCTTGGCCCAGGCGAGACGCTTCTTGCGCTGTTTCTTGTTCAAGAGTGGCTTGACACACGGAATGCGACACCTGAATCCCATGTCTTTCATGAGTCTCCTCGTGGTGGTTCTTGAAGCGCTGACTCCAGCTGCAGTCCACTCTTTGTGGATCTCCCCCACATTTTTGAATGGGTTTGTCGTCACAATTCTCTGCAGGGTGCGGTTATCCCTAGAGCTTGTACACTTTTTTCTACCACATTTTTTCCGTCCCTTCGCCTGTCTGTTAATGTGCTTGGACACAGAGCTCTGCGAACAGCCAGCTTCTTTAGCAATCACCTTTTGTGTCTTGCCCTCCTTGTGCAAGGTGTCAATGATTGTCTTTTGGACAGCTGTTAAGTCAGAAGTCTTCCCCATGATTGTGGTGCCTTCAAAACAAGACTGAGGGACCTTTTAAAGGCCTTTGCAGGTGTTTTGAGTAAATCAGCTGATTAGAGTGGCAGCAGGTGTCTTCTATATTCAGCCTTTTCAGAATATTCTAATTTTTTGAGATACCAAATTTGGAGTTTTCATTAGTTGTCACTTATGAATATCAAATTTAAATGTAATGAACATTGGAAATACATTGGTCTGTGTGCATTGCATGAATATAATGTACAAGTTTCACGTTTTGAATGGAATTACTGAAATATTTTCAACCTTTTGATGATATTCTAATTTACTGGCCAGCACCTGTATATATATATATATGCATATATATATATATATATATATATATATATATATATATATATATGCATACTGTATATATACATACACAACTTCAACTTTCTCAAAGCAGAATGTCTTGTCAAAAAATTTGTTTGATGCTAATTTCAACAGACTAATTTTTAACATTTTCTTACTTTTTTCTCATCATTTAACTTTTTTTGTTTTCAAAATTAAAATTCTACTTGAAAGATTTTCACTTCAATTTTTAATTTACAGTTATGCTACAGCCGGTGTTAGCCGGGCATTTTGACAATATTTTCAAAAGTAAAGAACAAAATGAAGTTTTACTTCTGTGTGACAAAAACTGCTCTTAATTTTGAATTTCAGTACAAAAAAAAGAAGACAAATCAGCTCTAAAAAGTCTGAAAACACATTTCACAACTTTGCAAACGTGTCTGCCCTTTAATGAGATTCCCTGAGGTGTGACTCGTTCACATTCATGACTTGTCTACTCCAGCTTTAATAAAACTTTTACAAGTCAAACTTTTCCCAGCAATCAGCAGCCATTAGCCCCTAAAACACACACGCGAAGCACTCTGAGACTTGAAATGATTGATGGCTGAGAAGCAGGAGAATGCTGTTAAGAGACAGCGAAGCCTTTTCAGCAAGCTGTTTCATCAGTCTGTAACGCAATTAAGGAAATGCCAGCAAACAGGAAAAGAAGAGGTCAAGGTGACTTTGGGAGGACTACGAAGAAAACTCCTGGATCCACGACGCCAGTGAAAGTAATGTACTGATTGACAGAATATTCAATAGTGTGAGCAATGACTTAAGAAGAATCATCTTTCTAAGAAAACTCCCCATGTTGCACACAGCTTCCTGCATGGTGAGGACTAAACATCCCTGGAAAGTCATCAAGCGAAACACGTTTTTCAAATTGAGCCCGTCTTTGATGAGGTCGTTTGGAATCAAATGCATAGCTGTATCTGTTAGGAGCGCAGCGTGTTCTCTTTAGAGCATCAAAGCTATTTTGACTCAATCATGTTGGAAGAAACCTGGTGAATTCACACGTCGAGGAAGACGGCACCGCCTTCAAACAAAGAGCACAGCCGTCGCTTTGATTGGCCTCAGAAACGCCGAAAAATCCTCGATGTGAGGAAGCATTCGCGGTTATTTGATAGACTGCCGAAGAAGCCGTCCTCACACACACACACACACACACACACACACACACACACACACACACACACACACACACACACACACACACACACACACGCTAACTGCATATGGATTCCAGCTAATGGGCTAATTTACAGGCACGGGTAGTTCACAATGAAGCCCGGCGGATTCTGAGCTGCATCCCAAATCTGAATGTGAAATAAACTCTGGAGCAGCAGACATTCAAAGCCCTGCCGCTCCTCGTGATTGCTTCTCCTTCTGATGTGAACTCCGCGACACAATCAGTTTAATATCGAGATTCAAACCTTCATGCTGCAGGAGAAAATCAAAACAAACAGCTTTTACGTAAGAGAGCCACATTAAGAGCAGGCTTGTTACAAGTAACTTTAGCTGAGATTTTATTCTAGTCACCTGCACAAATGATCATTTTTTTCAGCACTTTAATTTGCTAAACTTTATCTGCAAATGTTTGTTTTGCCTGTTTTATCAAGCAGAAGTCACTAATCTTTTTGTTGTTCAATGCTGGAACAAATAAAGCAAAAAACAAGATAAAAGCTTGAATTTGGATGAAAATTAACTCCTTTTAGAGGTTGTGTTCTGCAGAAAATAGTTTTTGCCAGTGCAACATCCATGCCCTGATAAACTAACAAGTAATTAAAAGGCTCCACCTGCTGCACTGAAATGATGTGCTAATTGCTGAATCAATAATTATCTGTGATGCACCATGTGCATGAGTCTGAAATGGGCCATTTCACATCATCAGGCTACTTCAAGTGCATTAAGTGCTTCAAGTAGACTGATTGCTTGAGAGTAGCTTCAGTATGACAGAAATGTGGTCCTCCCACAAGATGTAGAAGTGGGACTTAGGACTTGCCTATGTGAAAACCCTTTCATAAATATGGTATTGTTTCTAGAAATGTCTTCAGATGCAACACTAACTCCTGTTGTAACTACTCCAGGCCTTCGTGTGGTGCTATAACAAGGTCACACAACTACTTCGAAACAAGGAGTGGTGAATGAGCCTAAAACATACTTTGGATTCGATGACTATACGTGTCTAGAGCCCCAAGGACAAAGATGGAAAACAAGGTAAAAAGTATACAAAATTATTAATAGTAATCGGCAAAAACGTCTAGTATCACGAATGATCATCGTTGTTTTTCCCCGTTTTTACTCTTTTATTGACCCAGCGTTTACATAACAGGCACGTATTAGACACCCAACGATTCCGCTACTTTTCCTCTGACTCAAAATGACAAAATTTGACAGAGCCGAGGTTCGGCTTTTGAGATAATTTTGTTTGTTTGGCACAACTGGCCTAACTTTAATTGAGGAAGTTGTCATATTCCATCCACCCATTGTTGTTCGCTGATCCAGAGTCGGGTCGCGGGGGAAGCAGCCTAAACAGGGAGCCCAGACTTCCTTCTCCCCAACCACTTGAGCCAGCTCCTCCCGGGTAATCCCAAGGCGTTCCCTGGCCAGCTGGGAAACATAGTCCCTTTAGGCATCCTGACCAGATGCCCGAGCCACCTCAACTGGCTCCTCTCGATGTGGAAGAGCAGCGGGTCTACTCCGAGCCCCTCCCAGACGACCGAGCTTCCCACCCTATCTCTAAAGCCCTTTTCAGATTGACATTCTGGAATATGTGTTGACAATTCAGTCTGGTTTTTAACCAGAACTGTGTTTTCAGACACAACACTTTTGTACCTGAACTTGTCCTTTCGGCTGCCTTCACACAGCAGGGAAAAGTTCCAGATGTCTGAGGGGGAGGGGGTGGGAAGGCTGTACCCGGATATTGCGTAAACATAGTGTGGCGGGCGTACGTGCGTCATTTACCCAAACAAAGACATTCAGTCAAACATGGCAGACGAAGAGATAGAATTCCTCTCAATGATCGGACTTATGTTAAGCATAATTCTGCGCACACGAAGACGCATAAGGGACCTGGATGATGAAGCTCAGTGGTTAAAGGAATCACGGAAGCGGTGGGAAGCGGTGTGAAGCGCTCTGTCGCACGTCTAGGAGACGGTACCGTAGGAGGCGAGCTGCCATAGCCTAGTGAACTAGACCAAATTCTTGCTTTGCAAAGTTTGGTCTAGGCATGCTCCATTGGAACCTCCACAGCTCCTACCAGGACTCTGGCTAGCCAATCACAACTCTTAGAGGGCTTTCAAACACATAAAGAGCTGTGATTGGTCCATAATGGTGGGCCAATCATAGTGCTCTATCTGCTTAGTGAACAAATCACAGAGCTTTATCCGCTTTGTGGACCAATCAGGGCACTCTATATTCCTGGTGGGTGGGGTGATGCAACAGAGTGAAACAAGAGTATGTCACATTCATTTTCCAGTGGAATGCAGAGATAATTTGAAAGACAACAGTAGAACCCGCCCCACAACCGAGAGCCGTCAATGGAGCGTGGCCAGACTAAATAATACATTTATTTAGTCTGGCTTTAGTCTGGCTTGCCAGGCTAGAGCTGCCATGGTTCGCCGCATGCTACAGGAGCGAGCTATCTAGGTGCGCACAGCGTCCCCCAGTACCCCCCTCCTCCCCCTCCTCCCTGTCCGGAACTCGACCTCACCAGTCTGAAACAGCCACCCTGTCCGTAACAAGTCTGGACCTGTTACTAGGGGCTTCGTCCGGTTTAATTACGGAAAAGGTTATCCGGATGTTTGTATTCAGACACAAAGGTCTTACGGACAGAGTCCTGAACATTTCCGTTTTTCATGGCCTGTCTGAAGGGGGCTTAAGGGAGATCCCAGCCACGCTGCAGAGAACACTAATTTCAGTCACTTGTATCCGCAATCTCGTTCTTTTGGTCACTACCCAAAGCTCGTGACCAAGGTGAGGGTAGGAACGTAGATCAACTGGGAAATCGAGAGCTTTGCCTTCCGGCTCAGGTCTCTCGTCACCATGACAGACCGGTAAAAAAATAATTGTCAATAAATTAAATTAAATTAAATTAAATATTATTTCTAATATTTAAAATTTAAAAAGAAGGTATTTTTCTGTCTATTCATTTAGTTTTTATTTAGTTTTTTTTTTTTTTTAGAAGTGGGGGCGTCTATCTATATTGGCATTCAATCAAATCAAGAGTTTGATAATATTGTTACATCAGATGTGGGTAGAAAATTTGACATTGAACTTCTCTAGTTCTAGCCTACTTTAAAAGTTAAGGATACTGAATTAATGACCAGCTTCTGTACCTCCAAATTTAAAACTACTGGATACGCTTTGCATCAAAACCTCAAGCATGTCACCTGTTGGTGTTCCTTGTGAAAGGTTTAGGGTTATAGGATCGATGAGGTTCATTTTGGATGTCTACATAAAAATGAAAATATGTTATACCAAAACTTTTTAATGACTCTGGAATCCATTTTCAAAAAATACCATTGAGAGGCTCTTAGAATACTTTCTATGTGGATGACCCCAGTTTTTTAATCCTGATAAAAGTGCACATTTTTCACATTTAGTCTACTTTTTGTTCAAAATATTTTCTCCAGCAGTCATTTTAGCTCTGCTGTATCAAAAACACCCCAATCTGGCTCTCACCTCACTGTCGCAGAAAGTGTAACGGCGAACATACCTGTCCCACTTTGGCATTTTCACACACAAAGGTCTCGTAAGAACTGGCTAGTTCAGGAGGGAACTCGTTTATGTCCAACACGTGGACTGTGACAGCTACTCGGCTGGTCAGAACCGGACTGTCTGCAGAGATACAAAGGAAAAAAACAAAGCAAGTCACCTTACAGCGCTGACACCATCTGGATATACGTAGCACTACGGCTTAATAGCAACTCAAAGCCTGCATTGTATCACTGTTACAGTGGGATGGCTGACTGCTCAGAGTCAGAGCGTCCTTGACAAACATGCACACCCTTCACGTCACCCTGTTTTAATGCAGGATAATGTCTGATATGAGCAGAACATAAACTGCACCCAGATGTTTTATGAGTCATTCATCTGGGAATGCTAATTAGTAATAAAACCTCTAATATTGCATGGGAAACATGCACTTTTTAAATGAAACTTGGCAGCATATAGGAAGTTTATTTTTTTCCCAGCAAGCCTTTTCCACTCTGGTTTGAGCAGTAAAATCCACAGCCAAGTGTAATTATGGCGTGAAAGCCCCCTCGAGTGAGACTAACTTGAATTCAGGTTTGTTCGTTGCGTTGTTGCCGCTCTGCAGGGACGCAATGAGGAAATATTCTCTTTGTGCGAGGGCTAAACTTTACGGATTTGATGTGGCCAATGGGTTTTGTTGTGCAGTGGGAGGCTCGATGTGTGCTTGGTTGTGTACAGGTGCGTGCTGCTGAGGTGTGTGGGTGTGGAGCCAGGGAGGGTGGGGGTCTGTGTAGTCATCTCTGAAGGATTGGAGAAAGCAGCCACGGCTCAGTTGGTAACCTGTCCCTGACCTTGATGGAAAAAGCAATCTTCCCACTGTGACATGACACAAGGCATGGGATTTGCTGCCTTTCACTGACCTGACTGCCAACATTTATGCTCGTCCTGCAAAAATACTCCAAGTCTGTCATGAAAAAGGTCCTCACATCCTTCTACAGCATTCAGATGCTTATGGGTGCTGGGATGCTTAAGTGCCTCCCCTCATTTCACATTCTCATAAATGTTATGGGTGATATATCATTCACCCCACTAGATGGAGCAATGGTACAGTGGTTATATTCAAATCTGACTTGCATCAGCACTTTAGCTCATGCTGCTTTCATTTATGTGAATAATCTGAATCCAGCTTTGCTTCAAAATGCTTTAAAAGTTGCCAATAAAGTTGTCTGCCCTCACTGATCCATTCCTGCACGTTGCCTCTTTTTAAAATTAAGCACATTTTAATTAAATAATTCCAATTTTTACAAGCAATCAAGCACAAATAGAAGATTGCATGTGGATGTTAATCTTTAAAAAGGCAGATTAGGCATAAGAAAAATTCCAGGAAAAGTGTGAAACCAAATTCATTCGCTGTAAATTGAGAGGAAGCGCGTGCCATAATTGCCTGCTGCCAAGGTTATTATTGCCTTTAATAGATCTTCTCGGCCGCGTTGACTCTCGAAAAATTGCCGCTGGGTTTGAAAGCCCGAAGGGCGAGCCGTTAATCCAGCCTGTGCTCGTGCTCGGCGTGCCTTCAGCTGTCTGCTGTGCCTCGGACGCCAGGAAAGCTGCGCCCACGCTGCTCTCTTTCTGTTTTTGCTGCAGGACTGCAGTGTTTAGAGATGACTGGACTGATCTCTGAGGTTCAGCTGAGTGTCTGTCGTTGTGGTGGAAAGGGAATGCGGTCTGACAGATGTGAGTTTGTACATGATAAAAACAGTAGGAGAAAGGTGAAATGAGAGATCTGGAACAACTTGGCGATGATTAAAAACAGCTGTGTGGTGGCACCTGACTCTGCGGGAAAGCCCTAAAGCAGCGCTTGAGTGGGCTGACTGGCTGGACTTGCAGGAAAGTCCAAAAATATTCAGTTGGGTTTCGGCATCAGTGTCATCATTGGTCAACGCCTACTTCTCAACTTCCCTTGATCCTAACCCACCAATGGCACCTTTGCAAGAAATCTGCTCATTAATATTGATGCTGCTGCTGCTGATGCTGATGATGACAATGATGATGATGACGATGCTGAGGATGATGATGATGATGATGACGATGATGATGACAATGATGATGCTGATGACGATGATGATGATGGTGATGATGATGATAACGATGATGATGATGGTGATGATGATGATGACGATGATGATGATGACGATGATGATGACGATGATGATGATGGCGATGATGATGATGATGATGATGATGATGACGATGATGATGATGACAATGATGATGATGACGATGATGACGACGCTGATGATGATGATGATAATGATGATGATGATGCTGATGATGACGACGATGATGATGGTGCTGATGATGATGATGGCAACGACGATGATGATGATGATGATGATGATGATGATGATCATGATGATGATGATCATGATGATGACGATAGCGATGATGATGATGATGACGATGATGATGATAACGATGATGATGCTGATGATGATGACGATGATGACAACGCTGATGATGATGATGATGATGATGATGACGATGATGATGATGGCGACGACGATGATGATGACGACGACGACGACGACGATGATGATGACGACGACGACGACGATGACGATGATGATGATGATGATGACGACGATGATGATGATGATGATGATCATGATGATGATGATGACGACGATGATGAACATGATGATGATGATGATGACGATGATGAACATGATGATGATGACGATGATGATCATGATGATGATGATGACGATGATGATGATGATGATGATGATGATGACGATGATGAACATGATGATGATGTAAACGATGAACATGATGATGATGATGATGATGATGACGATGATGATGATGACGATGATGAACATGATGATGATGATGAACATGACGATGATGATGAACATGATGATGATGATGATGACGATGATGATGATGATGATGATGATGACGATGATGAACATGACGATGATGATGAACATGATGATGATGACGATGATGAACATGATGATGATGATGAACATGATGATGATGACGATGATGAACATGATGATGATGATGAACATGATGATGATGATGACGATCATGATGATGATGATGATGATGATGACGATGATGATGATGACGATGACGATGATGATCATGATGATGATGATGACGATGATGATGATGAACATGATGATGATGATGACGATGATGATGATGATGATGACGATGATGAACATGATGATGATGATGACGATGATGAACATGATGATGATGATGACGATGATGATGATCATGATGATGATGATGACGATGATGATCATGATGATGAACATGATGATGATGATGATGACGATGATGAACATGATGATGATGACGAACATGATGATGACGATGATGATGATGATGATGATGATGATGGACAGGCTTTCCTCCAAATATTTTTTTCTCCATTTGACAAATTGTGTTTATTCACATTCTTATGAAAATGATGAAAAGAAAGGAAAGAAAGAAAACGATAGTTTATGTATTGCCTCTCAAGAGAAAAATCCTGAGGTGCTTCATGGCAAAAAAATTCATATAAAAAAGATTAAAAAAATAAAAATATATAGTTAAAAACGAGTAAAAAGGGTGATTTAAAATGTAAGGAAAGGGAAAGAGAGCATGAATAGGAAAGAGGGAAATCAGTGGATCCTGGGAAAGGCAGGGTTGGTAGAAAGAGCAGAATAAGGAGAGGGTGGTGATGAAGGTCACATCAAAGCTTGAACAAGTGAGTCTTCAGCTGCTTTTTAAAGGAGACCACTGAGTCCACTGATCTCAGGCTCAGGGGGAGAGGGTTTCAGAGTCTGGGGGCCACAGCAGCAACTGATCTGTCACCTTTGGTCTTTAGCCTGGTGCTGCACAACCAGTAGGCTTTGGTCACTGGACCTCAGGGACCTGCTGGGGGTGTAGGGACTAAGAAGATCACCAATGTAGGATGGTGCTTGTCCATGTAAGGCCCTATAGACCAGAACCAGGATCTTGAAATGAACCCTGAAGTTGACTGGCAGCCAGTGAAGCTGGAGGAGAAGCGGGGTGATGTGGGTGTGTTTGGAGGACTTGGTCAGAAGCCGAGCACAGGCATTCTGAACCACCTGTAGACGTTCAGGGAGGTTCTGCTCAGACACGTGAAAAGAGAGTTACAGTAGTCTAAGCGTGAGGAGATGAAGGCGTGGAGAACTGTCTCAAGTTCAGAGTGGGACAGAATGGGACTCAGCTTAGCAATGTTCCTGAGATGGAAGAAGGAAGAGCGAACGAGAGAATTGACATGAGAATCCAGGGTGAGAGCTGGGTCAAAGGTCACACCAAGATTCCTAACAGAGGGTTTGGTGGGAGAAGCAAGCTGACCAAGAGAGTCTCTGACTTTAGGAACCAGCTTGTCTGGGGCGCAAAAGAGGATCTCAGTCTTATCTTCAATCAGCTGTAGAAAGTTTCCAGCCATCCAGGTTTTCCATGAAGTACCACTGATGCTTCCATTGTGTGGAAAAGTGGAGCTCCCATGTCATTAACATAACAAACAAAGAAATCTACACTTGCTGACCTTAAGTTGATGCACACTGCTGGATCATCACTATCTTAAGGATGTGCATGATTACCCCAAATGGCTCTAAAGATAATCTTATCAGATAGTCCTACCATGTGTGGTGTGTTACCATGTGTGAACACTTTGGTTTGTTATTAAGGACATCAGGACCACTCTAATCAAAAAGCTAGGCTTCCAAGCATGTTGGATTGTCTTGGCCTGACTCAATGCAATGTGTAGCCAATCAGAAAGTGGGGTCAAGGACGTGTGCAGCACGCTCCTCCTTCGCCGTGTTTGATTACTTTGAAGTCACATTTTATGTCATGAAATTTCCTGTCTGAGCGGGAAAATTCCCTGAGTGAACGTGGTTTTTCTATAGTGTGTACTATTTGCTGCACAGCACACAATGTAAGACCAAAGCTGGTTTATCTGTGTTTTTATTTTATTTTTATCACTATGTGTGGTCTCTTGTGATTTATAATTTGGCTATTTGACTGCCAACCCCTTCCAAAGTTGTTTCATATACTTCAAACTTTCAAACGTAAAAATAAATAAATATAAAAAAGGGTTCCTTAAGACCATATTTGTCTTGCAATTTTTTTTTCCAAAACCCCACAAGAGGCCCTGCAACTTCCACAAAGAAGCTGAGAACCCTCACAACTGGTTTGAGACACTTTAGATACTTCCTGGCAGATGCTGCTCATTGTGGCAGCCCTGTCAGAGCCGGGCTTGATGTTCCTGCATGACCTCTCCTCAACAAATGCATTATATGTGTGAGCACTGAAGGTGTCTTAGCTTCAGCACTTCATGGTTTAAAACTCCAATAATAGACAGACACAATCCCAGTGATGACAATGGAGCACAGCACAGAAGAGCCATAATAATCATTCAATACCCAGAACGCAAAGTTCTGCCAAAACCAACTCAAGGTCAGAGGCACATTTGAACTCAAGTTGGGACTCAAACTCCGTGCTGCTGGCTTCATCTACTCTTTCTGCTCAAGCCTGGCAGTTGTTCTTAAACAACTTCTTACTCTTTTTTATTGATGAGTAAAAATTGTCAAAACATTGTTCCCCTGAGAAGGTGGTGCTGGTGTTGTTTGACCCAAGACCGGCAATGGAGGGGATGATAAGACAACCGTATAAAGCTGGAAAACGAGCAGAAATACTCCCTGATTCCTTCATCGAGTATGACGGAGCGAACATGCATCGGCCTTATAAAAGTCCCATCTGGCTCCTGCTCCTCCTTTATCCACGCTCCATGCTCTCTTTCTAATTTTGTGGCACTTAATGCATAAAACCCACACAATGAAGCGCACACACACCGAAAACACAATTAGAATGTCACCAATGTGACCTTGAGGGGAAGTGAGTAATATCAGTTTCCAAGGCGACAATGATTCAAGTTTTAACAGGCCATATTTCACAGTCTGTCCTAATGAATATACGGCGTGTGTAATTTTGATTGAGCGCCAGCCTGCCTCTGGGATAATGGCTTTGACGGTTCTTAGGAGATTTGATGACTTGATGACGATGGATTTACTTATTTATGCAGAAATTTGCTCTAGTTCCTTCATAATAAACATAATTAGTTTGATGACACGTCTTAAAGCCACAGCGTTCGGTTCCATCTTGCTCTATATTGGCTCCCGGCAGGCTGCATCTGCTCACTGTAAAACTCATTTTTTACTGCGGTGTAAGTAAAAGTTGACTCGGGAAAGAAAAGCCTCCCTCCAATGCCAATGTCATCAAGAGTATTAAAAAAGACCGTTAAAGACGAAAACAGCGTTCAGGCAAGTATGCGGGAGGAGACAATGTCCTGAAGATACAACCCTCCAGGAGAGCCATCACGGTTTATAGTTGCCTATAAACCTTTCCCGGAAAATGGGATTGAGTATTGACTTGAGTAAAAGTGTGTTAAATCCTTCACACAGATTATGGTGGGGGAAGGTCAACGACACCTTTATGAATTACAATTGATCTCATAGTCATACTTACTGAGCTTGGTTGCCACAATGGAGATGTTGTGCTGGGCGATGTTCTCTCTGTCGAGCAGCTCGTTGGTGGAGATGGTGCCCTCCACGGGATCGATGTCAAAGTTGCTGTCCAAGTCGCTCTTCCAGTCAATGGAATACCTAAAGAAAGTGCTTATTTAACAACGTTCATTTTCAACATAAACCAAAGATTGAGACCCCAACGATTCTCCCTCCGGGCTCATATAAATGATAAATTACCGGCACTTGTATAGAGCCTCTCAGAGTAAGGACTCCAAAGCGCTTTACGCTACAGTGTATCATTCATCCATTCACACATACATTCACACACTGATGGTGATGAGCATCAATGTAGCCACAGCTGCCCTGGTGCGCACTGACAGAGGCGAGGCTGCAGAGCACAGGCGCCACCAGTCCCTCCAACCACCACCAGCAGGCAAGGTGGGTTAAGTGTCTTGCCCAAGGACACAACAGCAGAGTTCTCTGTCCGGAGCCGGGATCGAGCCTGCAACCTTCCGATTACTGGACAACCCGCTCAACCTGTTGAGCTACTGCTGCCCCATGTATATGAGTTAGATGTAATATGATGTTGGAGCAGTCTTCATTACTCATTCTGAATGGTCATTTCCAGAAAATGTGCTGAGGATTGCACATACATTCCAATCTAGTAATGGAGCAGACATTTGGCCATGCTGAGCTAATGGTTTTCCGTGGAACATAAATGAATTTTAGCCACTGTTGAAAGTGTATCAATCTCTCGTAGCCAATGAACAACAAAGACAACAAGTCTTAGTTTGGTATCTGAGAGCAGCAGGCCTGACGTTTTATTTATTTTTATTTTTAATTGGAAAAAGACATCATTGGTCTCACTGAGCTGCTCTGAATGCAAATTATTAAAATGCAAAAATCAGAAACCCAACCACATGCCGGTGACAGCGCCATTCATCACTCCATGCTATTTGATCTTAAAAAAGCTGTTTTTCATTAATAATTTTACAATCGTCGATGGAATTCCATCAGGAGAAAGTCATATTTTATTCCCCTTCACTACGAGGTCACAGGTTGGGAAATTTGACGCCTTGCCCGTGGGCGCATCCACAGAGCAGATCCGTGATTTCTCATGGGGTTGAGTTTGGACTTTCCCTGAAAGAGTCGCCTCTTTCCACCACCACTCTGGCACTTTTCCTTTTCAATTTTATTTTTTTTCTTTCTAGTGGCGAACTATTTGATCTTGAAAGACAATCGCACATGAATATTTATCACACGATGTTTTCTGCTCTTCAGATTCTAAAACTGGACTTGACTCGGTTATTAACAGAAACAGACCCGCAGCTCTTAAAGCCCCTCTGGTCTTTTTGGAGTAATGAGAACAACAAAACCCTTCTGTAAAAAAAAAAAAAAGAAAAAAAAAAGAAAAGAGCACAAATATGTTTTTTGAGTTTGGATTTAACTCACCGACTCTCTTACATGCAGCCTTGAAGTGAACATGAACGTGTCGAACGAGTTTAGGTTGAATCTCTTTGATAAATATTGCAGCCAAACTCCCATCAAGAGTTCAAAAGATCAATGAGTTGTAATATTTCCTTGAGGCAAGACACTTTTTTCTTCATTTGGCGGGCATATTGCTCAATGCCATGTGCTTTTGACACATTTGGCTTAGTTTGAGTTTGCCTTAGTGGCCAAAATCAATGACATACTACAAGGGGGAAAAAAAACAAACACTTTTTTTGCATTTTGTATTAGTTTGAGGCAACAATAAATATAATGTGAGTTGACATTGACATAAAAATGTGTGTTATTAATATTAAAGCATTAAAGGCAAAGGAGAAGAAAGAAAACAATCTTATATGTAGCGCCTCTCAAGATAAAAATCACAAGGCACTTCACAAAAACCAAAAGAAGAAAGATTAAAATAAATTTAAAAAAATCATAAAATGAGAAAATAAGTTGCTGTTAAAACAAATGTAAGAAAAGGGAAAGAGAAATGAGTAGGGAAGATGGAAATCTGTGGATCAGAGAAAGCGCAGAATAAGGAGAGGGTGGTAATGAAGGTCCCACCAAAACCTGAACAGGTGAGTCTTCAGCTGCTTTTTAACCCTCTCAGGCTCAAAATAAGTTTTGATAAAAGGGCGAACAACTAAGGCATTCAGGGGTACTTCTGAGTTAAAAAATGCTCATGAAATGAATGTGGAGTAACCAGGTAGGTAGGTTTTAACTGTTGCAAATCTGCATTGCTTGCCTCCAGAGGGTTAAAGGAGACCACTGAGTCCACTGATCTCAGGCTCAGGAGGAGAGAGGTCAAGAGTCTGTGGGCCAGAGCAGAACATGATCTGTCACCTTTGTTCTTTAGCCTGTTGAATCCTCGTTTCATTAATACATTTGCAGTTGTCTCTATTAGGAACGGAAGCTTTGTAAGTCGTACTTGGAAGAAAAAAAATCCAGAAGTGCCTCAATCAGCACTCAGGAGTCAGCTGAAGGAGAAAGTGGCAGAACACGGCATGATTTGGAGCCTTATATCCTGATATGTTGACATCTCGCCTCTGATTGGATAACAGTAATGTGATCCTACCACTACCATTTGCTCCACAATGTTGATGTTTTGTTTCCACAAATAACACAAGCCTGAAGGAATTCTGCTGTGTGGTGGAGTTGCTAATGCTATCAGTTAGCTTCTACTAGCTGAGACGTTCTCTGCTGTTTCCTGGGTGCTAAACAAACAACAACCATCCTCGTTGCGAGCCTAGATGGGCGAGTCCATGAATGCTAAGTGACAGTGTGACGTAGATCTGTCAGGCTTTTCTAAACCTAGAGTTTCACCGTCTTTTTAAATTTCTTTAGTTATTTTTGATTCAGTGAATATTTAAAAAATATAGGGACTGAATATGTGCTACCCATTAGTTAGCCTGCCTACCTGGTTGATAAAAGTTTGATAAATAGTAAATTAAAAAAGAATAAATAAATAAACAAACCGCTATCAGCTCAATCACAGCATCTCAAACAAAACAAGATAAATAAATGTGTTCACACATGACGGAGAACATTTAGAAACCTGTTTTGGTCTGAGTTAATTAAATGAAGCTCATCAACAGCTGTGGAAAAACATCCCAGATCTAAAGAGACTCCGTAACACTAAGACTATTCTACTGACAGCTGTGTTCATGAAAATGAATTACTCTTATCTCCTGTGTTGAAGTACATTGATGTTAATTGCCTCAATTTCAGCACAACACACACACACACACACACACAAGGTGATCTCTATAAAAGAGAAAGTTTCTGTTTCTTATTGATTTTTAGAGAGCACGGCGTTGCTGCTGCACTGTTTGAATGGCCACAATATTTTCTAATTTGCAGTGTTGAGGGTCTGACCTCATGAGGAAATTACTATGCAGTGATTTTCTCCAAAATGACTGTGCTTAAATTGCTCTGAAAAGCAAATAACCACATCAGCGCCAAGAAACTTCATTTCCCATGATACTTTGCACACGGAAGCATTGGGATGATGTCACCGCCTAGTACCAGAAACACGTTCTGCGCATGTGCGGGAAGCCGTGGAGCTTTCCCCGCGAACTAAGACCATAAATCTTCAGCAGAGACAAAGAAACCTCGTTCTTTTGCCCAGGATACCTGGCGGTGAGGACACGCTTGTCGAACGCTCCGACTTCTTTGAGCACGCGGAAGCTCTAAGAGCCAAATTGAGCCCACGGGACCGCTGATCTGCTCGTTTCTGCTCCCCTCCAGCTGATGTTTGAGGACACAGAACCAGCGGAGGGAAACAACAACTCCATCCAGCTCTCAGAAACGCTGTAAGTTGTCAAACTCAGCCCAAAAGGAACTTCGTTTTCTTTGTGTCCAGCCGTGGAGAAACACTCGTGGAGCCAAACAACGGAGAAAGCATCAAACCGGCGGATGACGCTGAAAACTGCGGAGAAACACGGAGAACCGTCAAATCAAAAGGGGGAGGGACGCCTCGCTCTTTTGGTGATCAGAAAACTCATTTTTCTCTCATTCTTTTCTTCTCCCGTTTCCTCTATAGTCCAGAATAAGCAATAAAACCGCGCTATTGCTTAAAAAAAGTAGCTTCGTGTTTTCCTCTTTCGTTCCAAATTCGTCCTTCGGGTCATTTTGAAAGAATAAACTGCTTATTAATCATTGTTTGGTATCTTTAAATGTTCGGCCATGGCCAGGCTGATAAACTAAGGATATTAACTCGTGATTAATCTTTTGTGTTGTTGCATGATCCTTTGAAATGTTTTGAGTGATTTAAGGTTAAGTTACTACTGATTCTAAGTGCTTTGGAAGTTAAAGTGCAAGTTGCCACCCACACTTTAGCCAGACAAAGGAGTCAGCCATCTTGTATTCAAGACTCCATTTTGAATCCATACACACGCACACACACTACTCCTTTGTGAGAACAAAGGACCCCATTCATACATCCTACATACACACAAAACACCTTGAACATTATTTTGAATATACATCCTTTTATTATATCACATGGTTATTATTCATTTATGCCACTGTTTATTCATTTGACAAATTGTTAATTAAACGTTATAAAATTCAGATTTTCGTCTCCAGTAGCTTTGTTGTGTCGAAGAGAAGTCTCTGCTCCAAGGATTCTACGAACTTCAAGAAAGACTGATAAGAGTTTTGGATTCAATTTTTCCCCGGAAAAAGGGGAATGGTGCCCCGTATATCTAAGAATATCTTAATTAATTAATAAATCAGTAAATATTCCCATATTTACAGAATTTATTGAAGAATCCAAAAGTAAGTTGAAGCTTACTAATTGTTCGCTCCTAATAACCCCAACATTTTATTGGTGCCCCGTGTGAGTAATTCTGACTAACCCTTTTAGGCTAAAATTAACTGCTAATTTAGCGACTTTAACTCACAGTGGCTATTGTAACTAACTGAAACCTTCACTCAAAGACTGATAACACCCTGTTTGCTAATATTCTGAAGGAATAACTAGCATATTTAACACTGCAAGTGTTGTAAGACGTTGCTACGGCAACGCACCAGCTTTTGCTAAAATACTGAAAGGAATAGTATTTTAAGAGTCAGTCACGGCAGTCCGTGCAATTTTAAAACGCTAAAACCTGTGCGCACAAAGGTTAATTTAGTGTTTTTCTGCT